AAAAAAAAAAAAAAAAAAAAAACAAAGCAACGACGACGCAGGACATAAAATCTTAGGATTGCCCTAATGATTTTCTAGTCCAACTTTACTTGCAAGACATCAACTATTCTACCAACTTTCTTGTCAAACCTCACTTTGTCAAGATTACTTAGACTATTTCAAGAAGTAACCAAGTCTTTTACACAAGGTCTTTTGGTTTGCATAGAGAATACATCCTTGTATGACTTGTTCCTCTTGGATAACGGCGCACATTGTAACTCTAAATTCACCATTTTCCTCCTGTTGATTTTTTTTTCTCCAAAGAATCCATGTGTAAAATAATCAATTACCTATTTAAAAAGAAAAAGAAGAAAAAGGAGAGTTAATAAATGGCATACCTCTTGGTCGAATTCATCACCTAAGAAACACAAAAACATTGTTTAAAAATAAAATACTCCCAATGTGTCCTAAGGTTCTTAGACTTTGAAGGTGGTTTACTAGGTTGACCGCTCTAGGGTTAAGTTCTGTCTAAATCCATTACATGTGGTTTCTTAGTGGATCCTATACGATTAAGGTTTTTCAACTGCTAACTTCCATAAGTCAACAATTATTGACTTCCATAAAGCCAACAATTGCCAACTTCTATAGAGTTAATAAGAGGCATTTCATGACCTAATACAGCAGCAGCATTATGGCTGTCAAGCCATATTAACCCACAAAATGAAAGTAAAAGAGATAAATCTCACTTCACAATGAAAGCATTGCGCATTTCATTGCTTTATGAGTTATCCATCTATTTAGAGGTCAGGTTCACCTCATTAAGGACTAAATGATATGCAAGTGAGGTGTGTGAGAGAGTATACACATAAAGTTAACATATGAAAATAATAAAATATTAAATAAAATAACAAAATAAAAAGAACTTACAAGGCACTTCATGCCACCTACAAAATAAAAGTTAATAATTGAAAAACCCCAAAATTAAAGTATAAATGGCTTGACCGTTCAATGTCCCCAGTGAAGTCGCCAAACTGTTGACATGCCAAAATAGATTGAGTCGCTATTTATCCAAATGAGGTGGGATAGATCACCAAGGTACTCGGAGGGTCAGTTAAGTGTGGGGAAAGTGTTAGGCACCCCACAAACTTCCATATAAATATGGTTACCACATACTTGAATTTTGGGGTATTTTTCAATTTTTATAAAATAATAATTACCAAAGAAAATAAAATAAACA